TGTTTGAATTAGTAGCAGATGGTAGAATGGAGAGAGATGAGATGAATTGAGAAGTTGTTTCATTGTTTAGTTTTAAAAGTAGGAATGAAACACCATAAAAAAAAATGATCATGATTCATTCCATTTTATTCTATTTCTTTATTATAATTTCAATTTTCTTCTCTCAAATTTGGAGAACAATTTTTTTGGATCATAAAATAATTATTATATTTATGCATATTTTATCACAATCATTAGATAAAGATGAGTTATTTTATACATTGTTGTATTTTATAGATATATAGAACATGATTTAATTTTATTCATAAATTTTATATATAAAAAGTAAAACTGTAATAAAAAAATCATATATTGATGTTATATCTAAAAAAATAAGAAATAAATTCTAAAATAATAAAAACAAATTAAATTTCAATACTTGAAATATAAGTAACGTATTCTTAAGAAAAATTAAATTATTCCTTTTTTTATAAACTAAATATATTTGAGTATATTTTCAACACTAAAAAATTATAATTTATCTTGTTCCATCCATTTTTTAAGCAATAGAGTGGTATATTTATTTTTTTCCATTATAAGATATTCGAATAATGGAATGACATTTTTATTCCATTCTAACCCATCTCATTCCAAAATATTTTGATCAGTGTTATTCCATATTCTACCACTAATTCAAACATAGCCTAAAGACATGTTTATGTGGTGCCAGTAATAATAATAACGACAATGTCAATAGTGATAGTTGTGATGACAATGATAATGATATTTTTTTACTTATAGTAAAATTTATTTGCAGATATCTATAGATATAATTTTTTTTTGACATCCCTAGTTGGATGTGGTCATCGTAGTGACAATAACAACATTGTCAATGGCACAATGTCAATGGTAAAGACTTTAATGGTAGAGATTGTGGTGATAGTTGTAATGACAGTGGTAGACAACAATAATAGTTGTAATGATGCTATAAGTAGTGATGATAGTGCTAATGACAATGTTGGTAGTGGTTGTGATAGGATGAGTTATTATTAAATATAGCAAGAGTTTATTTTAAGCCAAATTTACAAAAATCATTTTTTCATGGTTTAGAAAAGAAACAATAAAAGTATTTAAAATTTCAAGTAAAAACTAGTTTTTTTTAGGCACATAAATTAAAACTATTTCAACTCTATTTTAGTCACATTTTATTTTAAATTATATTTATAAATCAAAAACGAAACTTGCGACATCCTTGAACCGCCATGTAAAAGTTCCTTAATCATGTAAATAAAAGTTTGGCAATGTATAAAAAGAAACGTTTTCACCGATGAAGGCATGATGCTTGAAATAACACTATAAATCAAAGTCATCATTTCCAGTTTCTACACTACTCCCTTTTTGACTTTGTCTCTAATTTTGTGAATGAGATTTAAAGAATTGAAGTCCGTTGTTTCTCAAATTAACCTCACATCTTTATTGAAATGTAAAAATATGGTTTTATAAAAGAGAGATTGATACTAACGAGAATAAACAACCTATTAATTCTCATATCTACTAAAACAAAATCAACCAACTAATAATAGAAAATAGATTTGCTCTAATCTAGCTAACTGATTCTATCTCAGCCAATACTAATAACATATAGAATTAATGATCATCATTACACAACAATCTTCAGTAAATTTGCCTCCAACTAACTGTATTTCCAAAGACCTTGAAAGCATACTCAGTTGTAGACTTTCTAGTGTCAATGTTGCCTATAAAATTAGAGTCCATATATCCCTCAATGATAGGAACTTCACCTTGATTAACATATAACAAACTAGCTCCAATAGTTCCATGAAGATATCTCAAAATCCATTTTGTAGCTTCCTAATGCACCTTTCCAAGATTTTCCATAAACTTGCTAACAACACTTAGAGAGAATGATAAATTAGGTTTACAACATACCATAATGTACATGATGCTACCAACAACATTAATGCAAGACAGCTTCTTCATGTAATCAATATCTTCATTAGACTTAGGCTTATGTTCCTTAGACAATGAAATGTTATGCCAAGGGTGTGGAGACTGGCTTTAAGCCTAAACAGTTAAGTTGATCTAGGACTTCCTTTATATATCCTTCTTGGGATAAATGTAACAGTTTTTTTATCCCTATTTCTGATAATTTCAATACAAAATATCTTCTCAGTAAGCTCAAGGTCTTTCATTTCAAATTCTAGTTTAAGCATATCCTTTAAACTTTGAATTTCTGATAAGCTACTATTGGCCAACAACAGATCACCGACATAGAATAAGAGATAAATTGGTTTTACACCTTTGTGGCACTTCATGTAAACATAACAGTCATAGTCACTCCTAGTGAAGCCAATCTAAGTCATATAATCATCAAACCTTGTGTACCACATTCTGGGGGATTGTTTGAGTCCATTAAGGGGCCTTTTGAGTAAACACACCTAATGTTCATTTTTGAGACTAATGAAACCAGTTGACTACCTCATATATATCTTTCCTTTCAATTCCCTAGGTAGAAAGACTGTCTTAACATCCATCTATTCCAATTCCATGTCAAGTTTTGCAACCATGGCAAGAAGAATCCTAATGGAGCTGTGCTTGATCACATGAGAAAAAATTTAAGTAAATTCAACTCCTTTTCTCTGTGTGAAGTCTATAGCAACCAACCTTGCTTTAAATCTAACATTTTCTACCCCTTTTATACCTTTTTCCCTCTTGAATAACCACTTACATCCAACAATGGAATGTTCTTTTGAACAATCGACAAGAGACCAAGTCTCATTTTGAATTAGAGAATTCATTTCTTTTTCCATTGCAACAATCCATCTAGCCTTATATTTGTTGGTAGTGGCCTCTTCATAGGTTTGAGGTTCACGTTGCTCTTTAATCCCTTTTTTAACTATGAAAACAAAAAAGATTACATCAACAACAGAACCATGTTGACTTGGGACAAATTCTTTGGTCTTCAATTCTGCTTGAATGTTTTGTCTTTCAATGGGCTTTAATGGCACAATCAAATTTTCCATTTGAAGCTCATTGAAAACTACATCTCTATTGATTATGAACTACTTATATCCAGGTTCTTGGTACTTGAGCTTGTAACCCTTGACTCCTATAAGGCAGCCTATGAATGCACATTTTAGAGCCCTTAGCCTCAACTTATCTTGCTTAAGATGGGTATATGCAATGCATCCAAAGGTCTTCAACTCATCTTAGTTGGTCTCTTTTCCACTACAAGCCTCTTGAGGAGTTTTGAACTTTAAAGTTGTTAAGGGACTTTTGTTGATGTAGTATACAACAATACTTACTACCTTAGCTCAAATTGTCTTTGATAATCTAGCATGATTCAACATACACCTTAACCCTCTCAAGAATGGTTCTATTGAACCTTTCCGCCAAGTCATTCTGTTGCGGAATTTCCTTCATGGTTAAGTTCCTAGCTATCTCACCCTTTTTGCACAAATCTTTGAAATTGTCATCTCAAAACTCAAGTCCATTATCTATCCTTAGTTTCTTGAGTTTCTTCCCAGTTTGAGTTTCAATTAAGACTTTGTATTCCTTAAACACTTTTACAACTTCATTCTTGTGCTTAAGGAAATAAACCCAAAACTTTCGTGAGTGATCATCAACCAAAGAAAGAAAGTACCTTGCTCCTCCATGTGACTCGGTCCTAGCTAGTCCCTATAGATTTGCATGTACATAATTGAGGGGTTCCTTGCTTATGTGATTGTTGGTTGGAAACCTAAGCCTCTTTGCCTTTCGAATGACACAATGCTTGTAGAATTATAAGGGTTCAATTTTGCATTGACCAAAGGCACCTTGTTTGGTCAATTCTTCCATCCTCTTTTGGCTTATGTGAGCTAATATGTGAAGCCAAATGCTTGTGTTGTCTTTAGTGGAAATGCTGGTACAATGTGTTACCATTGTTTGGGAGTCTTCATCTGATACAACAAGAGCTTTAACCTTTCATAGCCATTTTGTGCTTCAACAATGTCAACAATATGTCTTCATTCATTTAACTTGAATTTGTTTGGGTAGTCATTCTTGAAGTGTCCTCTTTATCACATATGAAGCATTTCTTCTTCTTGTTCTTCCACTCTTTCTTTTCAAACTTATTACTGGAGTAGAGTCCCTCAACAATTTCTTCTATCTTGATTTCTCTTTCTTTCTAGCTTTCTTTTGAGTTGAGTGTTGCCTTCACATCTTCCATAGATAGAGTGGCCTTTCCATATATCATGGTGTCAACAAAGTGCTCATACCTTTTTGATAAGGAGTTCAACAAGATGATGACCTAATCTTGATCTTCTATATTCACATCAATACTCTTAAGATCTAATATGATTCTATTGAAATCATTAATATGAATTTTTAGGGGTTTCTCTTCATCCATTTGCAGTGCATATAGGCACTTCTTTAGGTATACTCTGTTGGCCAAAGTCTTCTTTAGGTAAATCCCTTCATGTTTCTTCCATACTCCTTTTACAAATTTCTCATCAACAACTTCCCTCAAAACTACATCTTCAAGGTTTAGAAGAATCTCATTGTGAGCCTTCTTTGACATCTTTGCACGTTTCTTCTCCTCCACCTTCATGATGTCCTCTTCTGAAAAGGTTACATCTAATCCCTAATGAATAAGCAGTGCGCTCATCTTCAATCTCTACAAGCTGAAATCTTCTAAACCACCTCCAAATTTCTCTATCTACATTTGTGCCATAGTCACGATCTTGGTTAGGTCTGAGAATCCCAACCTTGCTCTTGAAACCACTTGCTGTGAATGATATTCAGAGAATTGAAGTCTGTTGTTTCTAGAATTAATCTCACGTCTTTATTGAAATGTAAAAATATGAATTTATACAAGAGAAATTGATACTAACAGGAATAGACAACTTGTTAATTCTCATATCTGCTAAAACAAAAGCCACCAACTAATAACATAAAATAGAACTGCATTAATCTAGCTAACCGATTCTATCTTAGCTAATACTAATAGCATATATAAACCATTACACAACATCTCACATGTTAACCTTCAAATATAAATGCTGATTTGGTTACATAAATTATAAGATAGAGGCTCGTTTAGTGGATGTTCTATCTGCAAGAATTATGAGTAAATGTGGAACAACTGTAATCAAGCATGTTCCACAGGAACGTTGTTAACAAAGATATTTATATACATATATCTACAGGGATAAATTTTCATTTGTATGTTAACAAACATATCAGATTGGATATCTTCAGTATGGTTGTTAGCCTAGTTTTCAGCTTATTGCTGACATTTGATAAGCGAAGCCTAGTTGTGTGCTTCTGAATTCTCAGTTTCCAACACAGTTATCTTCATTGTCAATGACATTGTAGTATAAGGAAGACACCATGCCATCAAACTTCGAAACTACTTGATGAGTTGATAAGCCACAATATCGCTTCCCAAGACGAGCAATAAAGATATCAACGATCTTCTTGAACATGGAGTCTTCTTGGATGAGTGGTTGCTCTAAAAACTCAACCAGGGGCATCCACTGCATCACATCACACAAGAGTTATTCGTATGTATAAAATTTAATGTAACATGATATCATGCTTTCATTTTTGTTTGTGTTGAACATTCAACGCTGACTATAAATATGGTCAAAATAGTGTATATAAGTAGGAAATAATGTTCATCTTACAAGTCAGTTTTGTAGGATTGAGTTAAGTTCAAATTTACATTTCTCAAAGTTTAACAAATAACTACCAAGCCACCTTAAAAACTACATGGTGATCAAGGGAAATTTATGCAAGTAGTACTCAAGTCACATGGACCATCTTCAACTTGATTTTTGGGATATATCCCTGTGGTTTCTTAGGTCATCAACAATTCCACATTCCTCTATGTTCTGTACTCACCATATATGGAGTTGGGGATGATTGCAAAACAAGGAAAAGGAAAATTTAAAAATGAAGTTACGCTTTATTTGGTGACTATTCCATGTGAATAGATAAAATTAAACATAGGGAACTGCAAGGAAATAAGTTAGCCACCTCCAAGAAAAGTTTTCTTTTATTGTCTTCACGAGTAAGAATATCTCACCTTTGCTGCTGCAATTTCAAGATCATCAACATTGATCTTTAATGACAGGGGTCTTAGCATGCAGATGAAGAACAAATCTGACTTCTCAAAGGCCACATTATGCGCATGCCTAGAAAAATATAAGAAAAAAGATGCATAAATAGCTAAATTTTGTAGCATTCTGTGGTCATACTGGATTCTGTAATTAGTTGATTACAAGAGAAAACCTTCCAGCGATCCATTTACTTTCAACTTGGATTATTAGAAACGAATCCAGTATATACAAAGAATGACAGAGTCAATAGTTACTGTTTCAGATTTATTTTATTAAAGAAAAAATTCAAATTCATGATCACATATTCACATGGTTGTGAGTATGAATGGTGCTCTTTACCTGAATGCTATGACTTCAATGAACTCAGTTTCGATCTGCAACATAAACCAGCAAGCATCAAAAGAAAGCCCTTACGCAATAGAAACTTATGATACAACCTTGAGAATAAATTCATTATAAATTTACACCAAAGGAATATATCTAAGTACATCAAACTTACACCAGTTTCCTCCTTCACTTCTCTTACAGCTCCTGTGTATATTTCTTCTGCCTGAGATAGTTCAGACAAGTGAAGAATCAAGTTGCAACTAAGTACAACATGAGATTTCAATTCAACACCATCTCTAATTTGGTCTTTTATATTTCATTTCAAGAGCATTTAAGAAAATTAAGTGAAGCTACAAAATTAAATACCTCAAGAATGAATCCAGTTGGTATCTTCCAAAGACCAAGAGTTGCTGGAGAACAATGTTTCTCTTGTACTACAAGCACCTTTACAATTTTTTAACAGAAAATTATATAAATGTTAGTGCTTACTCGATCGAAATTAGATAAGAACTGTTACGATATCCAATAATAGAAAGGTAGAATATTTACTAACTTCAAAAAGGTTTGTTGTAAAGCTTTTTCAAAGTTCAGAATATCCTGTTTGATTTGTTATTTAATTGGGATGAGTTTGGTTCTTTCCAATGTTAATTATATTAGAAGAAACCATACTTCATTGTTGTCATTTATGACAAATCCCCCGACTCCAACTTGATGTGATGCATTCGCTGGAAGCATGCTAGGTCCTTCAGGAATCCAGTAAGTTAACATCACATATCCTGGCTCTGCATGGTGGTATTGGAAGCCCTCCTGAGACCAAAAAGAGTTACCTGAGGCTCAACAACTCTTCAATGAGTAAAAACAAAGTTTGAACTGAATAAAGAAAGATGAGTGGATGAATTTACTGGTCTTTTTGCACATATTCATTCATTTAATTTGGTGTACTTGTACATATTGAGATCTCTCATGCATATGTTATTATCTTTATTTCTTGATTGGTAGACGTTTGAGAGGTTGAATTACCTTCACAGCAATTGGAACAAGGTCAGATTGCTCTAACGGCAACTTAAGCCAAATTCCTTTCTTTCCCTGTAAATTATCAGATGACTTAATATATAAACTTGTGCTAGATGATGCTTTCACCAGGAAACAGATGCAGTCACAGAATACAAACAAATGGAAAATACTGATGATGTCTTTTGATTTCTCAAACATGACATATCACAGAAGCCCTCAAAGGAGTTATGCCATGCTTGCCTTAAAGATAGTTATAAAATTTATTTTCAAAGGAAGAAACATCAAAATCATTTAGAGGTGACTGATTTCCAAGTAGCATAGTTCATGTTAGAGAGGATGAGAACATGGAGAGAGGTTTTACCATTTTTTTCCAATGAGAAAGAGACAAACGCAACAGAGCTGCGAAGGTGTATGGGTTGGATGGTAACCTATCTGGATCAACGACGACTCCCCCATATTCATCATCAAATGCATCAAGTACTCTCAGATTTCTGGTATAGAAACTTCTAATTGAGCCACTTGTTCCATTAATATGCAAACCAGTTTCTGTTGCAAGATTATCTTCACCAACTGAACTAATGCCAGCTTTATCAGTCAAATAAGTGTTATCCGGGGCACTATAAGTCCTCAGAAACAACCCTGAAATTGAAAATTAGAGAGTATTAAACCCACATTCCGATTAGACCCCCCGAAAAAAACAAACAAAGGAAACAAAAATCTAATCTTTTCAACCAAACGAGATACCAACTCTTTCCACATTCTCCGTAGCAGATGAAAAGGGGCATCAATTTATTAGCAAAAATGTCAACTTTAGAAATGTATAAATGAAATCAACCATGGCTTATAACTCATCTGCTTAAATTAATTCAGGTATTCAGTCTTACTGAGTAATTAAAAAAGAAGCTCAAACAAAAACCAGGTTTTTTTCATGAAAATAAAATATATAAAAAAAGCAGCAAGTCAAAGGAAAAATACGACAAAAAAGCCTCCAAAATCGTGTATTTGGATAATCGTTAGTTACCTCTGCGACACTTGAAGTGGGGTGAAAATCCAACTCCAACTTTGTGCCTGAAACTGGAGATCAAAGTGGAGTAGGATCTTCCAACATGATCAACCTCAAATGTAGAGACAGAAGTCGAAGAGAACGATTTGAGGTCCATCTAAATCAGTGGTCAGAACTCAACTCAAAATCCAAATCTCAAACCGAATCAGTATCCAAATGTAAACATATACTATGGAGGGTAACACTAACAGCATATATACGAGAATCTTCACCAATATCTAAGCAACCTTAGCAGGTATCGAACTATAACATGAGATGACTAAAGAGACATCATGGTCATCATGGTCGTGATCATGGTCATGGGACTCATCGTTTTTTCTTAGTGTGCTATAGCTTCCTTGCCATGCTAAGCTTGGAAATCCAAATGGGTGCCAACAAAGTTTAGAAGATATAATTGAGCGTAATCCACGTTGCAACAAGCTAGTTTTGGCAGCACTAGGTGTTAGCGACCCTCAAATTGGTGGTTCATATTGAGCGATGTGTGGTTATGACAGAAAAATCAACAGGAATCGCAACAAAACTGTAAAGTTATGTTAATTTCTTTCTTTTCATGAATTATAATATAATAAATGGAGAAAACGAGGGAAGCTATTTATCCCAGTAACTTATTGCGGAGTGTCCTATAGCACTGGAGGTATTGTTGTTTATTACAGAATATTCCATGAAATAATACTCAATAAATTGATACTATTTTTAAATTAATTTGTAAAATTATATTTTTTTAAAAACTTAAAAAAATGTGGACGGTTAAAATTAGAAATAAGGCCATTAGAATTTATATTTTATAATTAAATTTAACTAATAACAGAGATCGGTGATATTTATTTAATAAAATAATTTTTAGAAAGGCAAGTATGTACAATTTATAGTCTCAATTGATATTATAAGTTTAAGAATTATTTTAAATTACACACATAACTATGATTATTTAATAAAAATATGAATTGATTGCTATTTGTTTTTTCACGAATTTAAAGTTAGGTATATTTTATCTTACATTTATAAGTTTTATAGAGTTGTTCCCCTTTCAGTACTTCCTCTCTTTTCATAGTTTCGTCTTCAAAGGATTTTCAATTATATTAATTACAATTTCTTTTTGGCTTTATGCCTGTGAACATACATTATTTTCATTGAATGATTCACTAAGTGATTGACATTCACTTAATTCGGTATCTATATATGATCATCAATAATTTTCTTAAACTCAAAAGTTTCGTCTTCGTAAGTTATATTTAAATTAGAGCGTCGACCACGTGATACATGAGTGAATTGTTGAAAAAGTATATTTAGACTGAAAAAAAAATCAATTAAATTTTTCATGAAAAAAATCTTAATTTACGATATTAGTAAAGAAAAATAACATATATATATCAATCAATAAGGAAACGTTTATAACATTCTCTACAAATTTGAATTTCTAAAAAGCACATAAAAATTAATAAAAAAATTTAAAACTACTAATTTTATCTCAACTATTAGGTGTGTAAGCAGGTATGGGTAACCGAATCTGAACTGACTCAAACCAATCCAATGAATTTGGATTGAATTTTTTTGGTGTTCGGGTCAGACTCAACCCAATCTAATCAAAACTCGACACTATAAGGATCGGGTAACGAATTTTGTGTTTTCAACCCATTATCCAACTCAACTCAATCATATATAATAATAATAATAATAATAATAATAATAATAGTAATAATAATAATAATATTTAAATAATCATTTTTTCAGGATAATACTCACTATTACTCTTACTTAGTAACGAGTTTTGTGTTTTAGATTGATAACATTATAATAATATAATGAATTTATTTTAAAATTTATTTTTGTAATAATTAATGTTGGTTTTCTTTAATTGATAATAATGTAACAAATTAATAAATTTATTTTAGAATTTAATTTGTATCATTGTTTGCTTTATACGTTGATAACATTGTATTTGCAACAATGTATCAAATGATTTACATCTATTTTAAATATTTAAATTTTTATAAAAATAAATAAATTTAATAATGTTGATGACCTGATTAATCCAACCCAACCCAACTCAATCACGAATGAGTTGGGTTGGGTTGGATTTAAAACAAATTGCACAAACCCAAACCAATCCAATTCGTTAAATTTTGATTGGGTTAGCACTACCAGAAAAGTGTATTTTCTTGCAAATTTTTCTATAAAAAAATATTCGCAGAAATATTTTGGGAATTTTCTTGCAATAATAATTTCACAAATTCTTTTTACGAATTTATTTGTGAAAAATAATTTACAGATATTTCTTACAAAAAATTTTATGAAAAATAATCAATAAATTTCTTTTTGCAAATTTTGCTGCAATTTTAATGATCATAGAAACTTTTTTTCATGGCAAAAATTTACAGAAAATATTGTAAGAATTTTATTTTATTTTTTGTAAATTTTCTTGTAAAATTAAATTCTCAGGTAATGTTTATTAAATGGTAGAAAAATTTCACAAATAACTTTTCCTAGGGATTTTCCTGTCAATTTTAATCCATAGAAAAAATAAAAAATGTTTAAATTTATAAGTTTAATAATTAAAAGATTTTTAATTAACAAATATTATTTACTAAATTATTTATAAATATATCATTATAATTAATTTTAATTTTAATTTGTTTTAATTTAATTAAATATATAAAATTTTATAAATATGATAAATTAATGATAATGATTTTTAATTTATTGATAATTTATAAAATTTTAAAATTAAAAGTATTTATTTAATAAAACATTATTTTACTAACTTATTTATAAATATTTCATAAATTTTTTTAATTTAAAATATTAATAACTTAAATATTTGTTTTAATTAAATGTATAAATTAATGATGATGAGTTTTAATTTAATGATAGTTTTTAAAATAAAAGTATTTAATAAAAAATTATTTTTTTAGAGTATTAAATATTTTAATAGTTAAAATAATTTATAATAATATAATTTTGTTATTCAATATAATGAATTAATCATTTTTCTAAAGACATGATCTAATTAATATTTAAAGAAAATTTCAAGTCCCACATCGATTGAAAATAAAACAATTAAATAGTATATAAATTGAGACAACACTTACCTTACAAGTTGATTTGAATGGTTGAGTGTTAGACTTATAATCTACAATCTAAGATTTTAAAAGGATATGTATCATATGTTGGAGAATAAATTCATTATGAGCATTTGCAATTTGAAGAATTATTAATAAAATTTATAATAATTTCTTTGATTTTTCGTAAGAAGTTTTCTTGCAAAATTTCTTGTGAAAAAATTTGCAAGAAACTTTCTTGCAAATTTTAAAATTCACAAAAACATATTATCCACAAAGGTATTACCTGGAGATAAAATTTCACAGAAAAATTTATAAAAATAATGTTTGCTATGAATTTTTATACAAAATTTGCATAAAAAAATCTCATGTAATAAGAGAAATTCTAGTAATGTAAGTAATAGGTTCATCCAAACTCGGCCCAACCCAACCCGCTTACACCACTATCAACTGTTTCCAGTTTTGAAAAAATATATATAACATAGTTTTAAAAGTTAAATTTCAACAAAGCATTTATCACCGTTTTTAAATTAATAAAATTAACAAATTTGAATTTAATTATTTAATCCTAACTATTGTTTAGTTTCATGAAAGCATTTATGATACTTTTGAAAAGATGTACCAAAATACAATATTTTTAAAAGATTTAAAATCCCAAGAGAAACTCTTTTAGATTTTTGAATAATTAAAATTATTAAATTTTAAATTACTAACTTAAATCCTACCTATTTCCAGTTTCAAAAAAGTATTTATAATATTTTTAAAATTTGAAATTTCAAAAAAATATTCATAAAAATTTAAAATTAGTAAATTTGAATTCAATTATTTAATTCCAACCATTTCCAATTTCAAGGAAATATTTATAATAATTTAACCCAACTTTCCCAAATTCAAGAAAACATTTCCAACATTTTTCAAAAGTTTAAATTTCAAAAAACTATTTATAAAATATTTAAATAATTAATATTATTATATTTGAGTTTAGTTATTCAATGGAAACGAGATGAAAAATGGAATTTCTTACAATTAATTTTACTTGAATTTAGAAAAGAGATACTTTTAGGAGGGTGTATTGAATTACGATTTTAAAGGACTTTTTTAGTTAAAAAAAATCCTGTAGATTTTAAAAGACTTTGCAGGATTTTGATGACTTTTAAGATTTTGCAGGATTCTACAAGACTTAAAATCAGGATTTTAATGGATTCTGCAAGACTTTTAAATCAGGGTTTTAATGGATTCTGTGGAATTTTGTGAAGTTTTGACATTTGATAAGATTTAAAAAAAAAATTCATACATTCAAATTTAAAAAGAGTCAAAGACAAAAATAATAAAAAAAATAATAATGTCTAGATAAATAATAATAATAATTCTCCATAATATTCTATCATCTTTTTATAGCATCCACTATCAATTGTAACAATTCATCGGAATCCTCCTAGGTCCAAGCTTCATAGTTTTCTTTCTCTTTTCCTTTTTTCCTTATTATTTCCTTGTGAATCTCCCATTTGAATTACTAAAACAATATATGTTGAAAACTAGTTATATAAATAATTATGGATAAGAGACAAAATCAATAAAATTATATTATTGTTTTTAGAAGCACACTAATCATACAAAATCGAATATATCTTGGCTATCCAAATGACTCAGTCATTATAAAAAAAACATGTAAAAATGAAAATATAGAAACATAAGATAATTTTATATATAAAAAAAAATCAGTATATTCGATACTGATAAAATATTTAGATATATAATTTTTTTATATAAACAGAAGTATTTAAATATAGAGAATATATATATATATATATATATAGATATTATTTTTGTTATATATTATATGATAATTTTTAACGATATTTATAAATGTAAATTATTCTAACAAATATTTTAACAATATTTCCTTTTTTTAAAAATAAGCTAATGAAGGCATAAATCCTAAATCCTAAAAAATTAGATACTGCAATGTCTTATGTTAATTTT